TAGTGCATAGTTCTCTTTACATAAAACATGCAATTGTTACACAGTGTAGAAATGGCCTGTTGACTTATTTGCCCCCCTTCTCTCTACACTTAGTTGTTGTTGTAAATATTGAGAATTACTTAGCAAAACATTCACCAATTAAACAATGTCTACATGTACAATTCAGTGACATTAATTACATTCTTGGAGTCCTGTTGTGGCACTCTGGGTTAATGTGCTGCACTGCGAGGTCAGTTTGAATTGCAAGGTTGGCAATTCAAGCCCACCAGCTGCTCCTCAGAATCCCTGTACAGGGTCACTATGGGTCACAACTGACTCGACAGCACTTAACAACAAAAGTTACATTATTTGAATTGTGCAAAAAGTCTCAGCCTCCTTTTCTGAGTTGTTTCTCCAGGTTAGCAGAAACTCATCGCCTCCCTAAGTTTCCTAGCTAATCTTTCCAGTTGTCAGTTTGATCCTGTACAGATAGATTTTGAAAGAACATACTGCTCAAGACATATTTTGCTAGTTAAACTATTGTTTGGTTTTAAGAAGACTGCAGGGAATTTTTTTGGATTAAGGTTTAAAAATTATCTTAGGGTTTATATTATATTTTCAGGGTTTCATCTAGCCTCCATGGCTCCTGAAAGTCTAGAGGTCATGAAAATTTTTAATTCTGTTCTGCAAATTCCTCCTTTTGATCAGGATTCTCTTACAGAATCTTTGATTAAAATGTTCAGTAATGGTAGCCAAGCCCATTTAGTTCTTTGGGTCTCCTGGTAAAGGAGGCAGTTGTTCATGGAGGCAATTAGCCACACATTCCACATCCCAGCCCAGAATCCGCACACAGAAGGTGTGCAGTAACTGTTGACTTGAACCAATTAAAATTCTCTATACTTATAAGCTCTGTGGTTTTGGACTGTCTGATAATGATAAAAATGGGGGTTATATGGAACCCCAGAATGACACAGATAGTTAACTGTGTGACCATTAACTAAAAGGTTGGCGATTTGAACTCATGGTTGGTGGTGCAAACTCACCTGCTTCTCCTTGGAAACCCTAACAGGTTTGCTATGAGTCAGAATAGACTCGATGGCACTTAACAACAAGGAGTGCCTTTGAAGAAAGGCCTGATGATCTGCTTCCAAATGATCATAGCCATGAAAACTCCCCAGGAGCCCATTTTTACTCTGCAATGAAAGAAATGGGCATTGTAATAGCCCCATGAAACAGGATGAAATGTATAGCATTTAGCACAATGCTTAGCACATGTTAGATGCCCAAGAAATGATAGCCATTATTAGTGTTATTGTTACTTTGTTAACAAATCCCTCTTCTACTCCTAGTTGGTCTCTCCACCTACTACTGACAACCAAACTCTTGCTTTTTCCTGAGACCAAGTGTTTACGAGATGCCTGCCCTAATGCCTTCGCCTTCTTTTTGATCTTGAAAACCACACTACCTGGTTTCAAATTCTGGCTCTTTTCTCTGCATGTTCAGACTTCCAGTTTCAACCACCTCACCAGGTAAAGTCTCATCAGGATAGAGTGTCAGGGGCTTTACAGACTGCCCGAGGGTTTTGGTCCTTGGAAGAGGGTCATCTCGTGAAAATAGTAGGGCATTGATTGAAAAAGTGATCCTGATATTTCTCTTGCCCTGTGCCCATGCCATTTACAATGCGACTTTGCAACTCTTCTCTTCAAGAAATGGAGCCATGTCCCATGCTCTTCATGTAGGCTGGACTCATGGCTTGCTTTGGCCAATGTGATACTGACAATTTTGAGCCTAGGCCATGAGAAGCCTTAGACACTTCAGCTTGCTCTCTTGAGCATCTTCCTCCATGAGAACCAGCCCGGGCTAACCTACGGGAGGATGAGAGGCCATGGAGAGCGGAGCTGTCATCCCAGCTGAGGCCAGCCAGTTGTCCACTGTAGCCAATCCATAGATTCATGAGACATCGTAAATGGCTGTTCTTCATCATTTAATCCAGCACTATGAATTAGAATGGACTCAGCAGCATTGGGTTTAGTTGGGATCTGCAGCATTATTGTAAGACTAGAGCACAGGAGAAGCAGGGAGTAGGGCCTTTTAAAAACCACCCCTGCCCTGAGCTGGGAGGAGCAGCAGCTGGTCAACTGGGTAGTTCCCTTTTCCGGTTTCCATAGAATTAGCGAGGAACAACCCTATCTCTTTGGCTGTATTCCTGCAGAGAGGGAGGCAGGAGAATTGGAGCTGCAGCTTACTGGGTGGGTCCCACAGTCGCCTGGGAGGATAGGAGTATTCAGGCAGGAAAGACTGGCTAGCGTTAGGGTTGACTTAGCATTCCTGCCAGCTGGGGAACAATTAAATTCTATATTCCAAATAACTTCAAGGGAACACATGTGGGACTGAGCTATTAATAGCACAGCCCTGAGAACTATGAAATATCAGCCCCATGGCACCCAGACTCTCGAGTTCCAGCCTCAAACATTCTCCTGCCTGTCTCAGGCCCCTCCCCAACAGGCCTGTTGTTCTCCCACAGAGCAGCTTTTTTCTCCTCAGCCTTATAGACTAACCCACAGTTTTAATTTTCCACATCTGGAAAGTAGTCCATCAGGAATTTGAGCATTGCCCTCTATTTGATACCCCATCCCACTTCTTTGGTCCCCTATAAGTACTGGGCTATTGATTTTGCCTTGGGGCACAGGTGTCCAAATTCCCAAATAAACAAATCACACACACACACACATACACCACCCCAGCCAAACTCCTGTGTGGATACCCCACCCCCATTTTCCAGCTTCTTTTTTTCATCAGCTTGTTCTCATTTCTTCAACTTGTTGTCCTTGTGTGGCACACTGGTTAAATGTTTTGCTAGCTAACAAGTTGAAAGTTCGAGTTCATACAGAGACACTTAGAAGAAAGACCTGACAACTGCTTAAAAACATTAGTCACTGGCCCAAGTCATGGTATTTTCAATTGTGAAAGTTGGATAATGAGTAAGGAAGACTGATGAAGAATTGAAGTATTTTGAATTACAATGTTGGGGAAGAACACTGAAAATACTATGTACTGCCAGAAGAATGAACAACTCTGCCTGAGACGAAGTACAGCGAGAATGCTCTTTAGGTGTGAGGATAGTGAGCCTTCACCTTATGTACTTACATTGGACATACTGTCAGGAAGGACCAGTCCCTGGAGAAAGGTATCATGCTAGGTAACGTGGAGGGTCAGAGTAAGAGAGGGAGAGCCCCAGTGAGACGGACTGACACAGGGGCTGAATGGGTTCACACGTCACAAAGATTGTGCGGAGAGCACAGGACCAGGTAGTGTTTCGTTGCTAGACTTGATGGCATCTAATAACAACCAAACAATCTTTGTGGGAGCAAATCAGGAGGTCTTTTCTCCAACAGAGCTGGTGGGTTCAAACACCAACTTGTAGGATAGCAGCTGAGCACT